TGTGTGGGTGAGTAAGTGGGTGGGTGAGTGGGTGAGTGAGTGAGTGGGTGAGTGAGTGAGTGTGTGAGTGAGTGGTTGGGTGGGTGAGTGAGTGAGTTACTGATTGAGTGAGTGGGTGGGTGAGTAAGTGGGTAAGTGGGTGAGTGAGTCGTTGGGTGGATGAGTGAGTGAGTTACTGATTGAGTGAGTGGGTGGGGGAGTAAGTGAGTGTGTGAGTGGTTGGGTGGGTGGGTGAGTGAGTTACGGATTGAGTGAGTGGGTGGGTGAGTAAGTGGGTAAGTGGGTGAATGAGTAAGTGAGTGAGTGGGTGGGTGAGTAACTGAGTGAGTGAGTGGGTGAGTGAGTTGCTGATTGAGTGAGTGGTGGGTGAGTGAGTGTGTGAGTGAGTGTGTGAGTGAGTGAGTGAGTGGGTTGGTGAGTAAGTGGGTGAGTGGGTGAGTGAGTAAGTGAGTGAGTGGGTGGGTGAGTAACTGAGTGAGTGGGTGGGTGAGTGAGTTGCTGATTGAGTGAGTGGGTGGGTGAGTGAGTGAGTGAGTGGGTGAGTAACTGAGTGAGTGAGTAAGTGGGTGAGTGAGTTAGTGGGTGAGTGAGTGCGTGTGTGAATGAGTGGGTGGGTGAGTAAGTGAGTGGGTGAGTGAGTGGGTGAGTCAGTGGATGAGTGTGTGGGTGAGTGGTTGGGTGGATGAGTGAGTGAGTGGGTGAGTGAGTGGGTGAGTGGTTGGGTGGATGAGTGAGTGAGTGAGTGTATGAGTGAGTGAGTGAGTGGGTGGGTGAGTGAGTGGGTGAGTGTATGAGTGAGTGTGTGAGTGAGTGAGTGAGTAGGTGGGTGAGTGAGTGGGTTAGTGTATGAGTGAGTGTATGAGTGAGTGAGTAGGTGAGTGGGTGAGTCAGTGGGTGGGTGAGTGGGTGGGTGAGTAAGTGGGTGAGTGGGTGGGTGGGTGAGTGAGTGAGTGGGTGAGTGAGTGAGTAAGTGAGTGAGTGAGTGGGTTAGTCAGTGGGTGAGTGGGTGGGTGAGTGTGTGAGTGGGTGGGTGAGTGTGTGGGTGAGTGTGTGAGTCAGTGAGTGAGTAGGTGAATGAGTGAGTGGGTGAGTCAGTGGGTGACTGTGTGGGTGAGTGAGTGGGTGAGTGTGTGATTCAGTGGGTGAGTGAGTTTGTGAGTGGTTGAGTGAGTGAGTGTGTGAGTGGGTGAGTGAGTGAGTAAGTGAGTGAGTGTGTGGGTGAGTAAGTGTGTGAGTGTGTGGGTGAGTGTGTGGGTGACTCAGTGGCTGGGTGGGTGGCTGGGTTGTGGTGAGTGGGGGGCTGACTGGCTGGCTGGCTGCTGAGAGCGTGTCAACTTCACTCCAATGGAGACCATCAATCTCAATCTCCTTCCCCCATTATAACAAAGACCCCCTTCCCAATCACTTTGTTCCACACACCCCTCCCCCCCCCCACCTCGTGACGTCACCACGGGACCCCCCCCCCCCACCACCACCACCATCACCCCCCCACCACCACCACCACCACCACCCCCCCACCACCAACCCCCACCCACCCTTCCCTGCTTATAAAAGATGCACCGCTCACAGAAGACCCTCCCGCTAGAATTGTAACTCGTGACGTTTTCCATAACGCGTCTGGCATCGATATCATCATCATCGATATCATCATCATCGATATCATCATCATCATCGATATCGTCGTTAGTTGCCGCCGTAGAACGAGCAATCATCAGCTGTACCGGAGCAGAGAGAGAGATAATTAAAAATCACTCGCTCGAGAAATCATTCCAATTTCTCGCGGATCGATCAATAGTTTCGCGAGCCGAAGGGTCTCCCAATCTCGAGATATCGATCTACGTTCCACCTACCACCCACCACCACCTCCACATATCGTCCGCTCGGTATCGCTTATCACTTTTTCTCCTCTCTCTCTCTCTGCGCTAGTTCTACAGTGTCCACGTGGCCATGAAGTCTCAGCTGCTGCTGCTGATGGTGGTGACTGTGGTGGTGGTGGTGGGTAACTGGGCTACCCTGGGGGTTGGAGCGAAGCCGTTGACGTCATACGAGGTGGGTGGTGGTGGTGGTGGTGGTTGTGGTGACTGTGGTGGTGGTGGTGGTAGTGGTGGTGGTGGTGACTGTGATGGTGGTGGTGACTATGGTGGTGGTGGTGGAGGTGGTGGTGGAGGTGGTGGTAGTAGTGGTGACTGTGGTGGTGGTGGTGACTGTGGTGGTGGTGGTGGGTAACTGGGCCACCCTGGGGGTTGGAGCGAAGCCGTTAACGTCATACGAGGTGGGTGGTGGTTGTGGTGACTGTGGTGGTGGTGGAGGTGGTGGTGGTGGAGGTGGTGGTGGTGGTGGTGGAGGTGGTGGTGGAGGTGGTGACTGTGGTGGTGGTGGTGGTGGTGGTAGTGGTGACTGTGGTGGTGGTGGTGGTAGTGGTGGTGGAGGTGGTGACTGTGGTGGTGACTGTGGTGGTGGTGGTGACTGTGGTGGTGGTGGTGGAGGTGGTGACTGTGGTGGTGACTGTGGTGGTGACTGTGGTGGAGGTGGTGGTGGAGGTGGTGGTGGTGGTAGTGGTGGTAGTGGTGACTGTGGTGGTGGTGGTGACTGTGGTGGTGGTGGAAGTGGTGGTGACTGTGGTGGTGACTGTGGTGGTGGTGGGTAACTGGGCTACCCTGGGGGTTGGAGCGAAGCCGTTGACGTCATACGAGGTGGGTGGTGGTGGTGGTGACTGTGGTGGTGGTGGTTGTGGTTGTGGTAGTGGTGGTGGAGGTGGTCGTGGTGGTAGTGGTGGTGGAGGTGGTGACTGTGGTAGTGGTGGTGGTGGTGACTGTGGTGGTGGTGACTGTGGTGGAGGTGGTGACTGTAGTGGTGGTGGTGGTGGTGGTGACTGTTGTGGTGGTGGTGGTTGTGGTAGTGGGGGTGGTGGTGGTGGTGACTGTGGTGGTGGTGGTGGTGGTGACGGTGGTGGTGGTGGTTGTGGTGGTGGGGGTGGTGGTGGTGGTGGTGGTGACTGTGGTGGTGGTGGTGACTGGTGGTGGTGGAGGTGGTGGTGGTGGTTGTGGTAGTGGGGGTGGTGGTGGTGGTGGTGACTGTGGTGGAGGTGGTGACTGTGGTGGTGGTGGTGGTGGTGGTGACTGTTGTGGTGGTGGTGGTTGTGGTAGTGGGGGTGGTGGTGGTGGTGACTGTGGTGGTGGTGGTGGTGGTGACGGTGGTGGTGGTGGTTGTGGTTTTGGTGGTGGTGACTGTGGTGGTGGTGGTGGTGGGGGTGGTGGTGGAGGTGGTGACTGTGGTGGTGGTGACTGTGGTGGTGGTGGTGGTGGTGGTGGAGGTGGTGACTGTGGTGGTGGTGGTGGTGGTGGTGGTGGAGGTGGTGACTGTGGTGGTGGTGACTGTGGTGGTGGTGGTGGTGGTCGGAGTTGTGGTGGTGGTGGTTGTGGTGGTGGAGGCTGTGATGGTGATGATGGTGATGATGTTGTGGTGGTGGAGGTGGTGACTGTGGTGGTGGTGACTGTGGTGGTGGTGGTGGTGGTGGTGACTGTGGTGGTGGTGACTGTGGTGGTGGTGGTGGTGGTAGTGGTGGTGACTGTGGTGGTGGTGGTGGAGGTGGTGGAGGTGGTGGTAGTGGTGGTGACTGTGGTGGTGACTGTGGTGGTGGTGGTGGTGGTGACTGGTGGTGGTGGTGGAGGTGGTGGTGGTGGTTGTGGTGGTGGGGGTGGTGGTGACTGTGGTGACTGTGGTGGAGGTGGTGACTGTGGTGGTGATGGTGGTGGTGGTGGTGGTGACGGTGGTGGTGGTGGTGGTGGTGGTTGTGGTGGTGGTTTTGGTGGTGGTGACTGTGGTGGTGGTGGTGGTGGTGGAGGTGGTGGTGGGGGTGGTGGTGGTTTTGGTGGTGGTGACTGTGGTGGAGGTGGTGACTGTGGTGGTGGTGGTGGTGGTGGTGGTGGAGGTGGTGACTGTGGTGGTGGTGACTGTGGTGGTGGTGGTGGTGGTGATCGGAGTTGTGGTGGTGGTGGTGGTGGTGTTTGGAGTTGTGGTGGTGGTGGAGGTGGTGGTGGTCGGAGTTGTGGTGGTAGTGGTAACTGTGGTGGTGGCTGTGGTGGTGGTTGTGGTGGTGGTTGGAGTTGTGTTGGTGGTGGTGGTTGTGGTGGTGGAGGCTGTGATGGTGATGATGGTGATGATGTTGATGGTGATGTTGATGGTGATGATGATAATGATGGTGATAATGATGATGTTGATGGTGATGTTGATGGTGATGATGATGATGGCGATAATAATGATGGTGATGATGATGATGATAATGATGATGGTGATGATGTTGATGGTGATAATGATGATGATGGTGATGATAATGATGATGTTGATGGTGATAATGATGGTGATAATGATGGTGATGTTGATGGTAATGATAATGGTGATAATGACAATGGTGATGTTGATAATAATAATAATGGTGATAATGATGTTGATGGTTCTGATGATGATAACGGTGAACACAAACACAACCCACCCACCACCCACCACCCACCACCCACCACCCCACCCCCACTCTCATCTCTCCCCCCACCCACCCCACCCCACCCACCAGCTGTACGACGATTCAGGCTCAGAGCCATGGGAAGGAGGCTTCCTCCCACGCGTCTCATCATCCTCCTCCTCCTCCTCCTCCTCCTCCTCCTCCTCCTCCTCCTCCTCCTCCTCCTCCGGTGAGGTTGAGCCTCTGGCCGAGGTGACAGCAACCGGCGGCGTCAGCGGCGGCGGCGTCCTCGGCGGTACCCCCTGGGTGGGCCCCCGGGGCCACCAGCGGCCGTCGAGGGGACTCGCCGAAGGGGGCTCCCAGGTGTCCGGCGGGGTCTGGCAGCGGCTGTTCAACGACTTTGTCAGCAATCAGCGGCGGTTCCGCGGACGGACCAAAAAGGGGAAGGGCTGCTTCGGGGTGAAGCTCGACCGGATCGGGTCCATGAGCGGCCTGGGTTGCTGAGCAACCGCCCGTGGCTCGCGACGAGGAGGAGGAGGAGGAGGAGGAGGACGATGACGATGATGACGATGACGACGATGACGATGATGACGACGATGATGAAGACGCCGATGACGACTCACTGTCCACCAACAACGGCAACAACCGCCGCCCATGACCGCCCACGACCGCCCACGACCGCCCGCGACCGACCACAACCGCCCAAAACCGCCCGCGACCGCCCACAACCGACCGCCACAACCGCCCAAAACCGCCTACAACCGCCTGCAACCGACTGCCCGCGACCGCCCACGATCGACCGACCGACCGCCTACAACCGCCCACAACCGCCTGCAACCGACCACCGCGACCGCCCACAACCGCCCACAACCGCCTACAACCGACCGCCCACAACCGCCCGCAACCGCCTACAACCGCCTACAACCGACCGACCGACCGCTTGCTGCGCTCCGCCACCGCCAGCGGCCACTGCCATCGCGGGGAGAGGAGAGGTCACCATCGGAGGAGAGGAGAGGTCACCATCGCGGGGAGAGGTCACCATCGTGGGGAGAGGAGAGGTCACCATCGGAGGAGAGGTCACCATCGGAGGAGAGGTCACCATCGGAGGAGAGGAGAGGTCACCATCGGAGGAGAGGAGAGGTCACCATCGGAGGAGAGGAGAGGTCACCATCGGAGGAGAGGAGAGGTCACCATCGGAGGAGAGGAGAGGTCACCATCGGAGGAGAGGAGAGGTCACCATCGGAGGAGAGGAGAGGTCACCATCGGAGGAGAGGAGAGGTCACCATCGGAGGAGAGGAGAGGTCACCATTGGAGGAAAGGTCACCATCGGAGGAGAGGTCACCATCGGAGGAGAGGTCACCATCGCGGGGAGAGGAGAGGTCACCATCGGAGGAGAGGTCACCATTGGAGGAGAGGTCACCATCGCGGGGAGAGGAGAGGTCACCATCGGAGGAGAGGTCACCATCGCGGGGAGAGGAGAGGTCACCACCGCGGGGAGAGGTCACCATTGTGGGGAGAGGAGAGGTCACCATTGGAGGAGAGGAGAGGTCACCATTGGAGGAGAGGTCACCATCGCGGGGAGAGGAGAGGTCACCATGGCGGGGAGAGGTCACCATCGGAGGAGAGGTCACCATCGGAGGAGAGGTCACCATCGCGGGGAGAGGAGAGGTCACCATCGGAGGAGAGGTCACCATCGCGGGGAGAGGAGAGGTCACCATCGGAGGAGAGGTCACCATCGCGGGGAGAGGAGAGGTCACCATCGGAGGAGAGGTCACCATTGGAGGAGAGGTCACCATCGCGGGGAGAGGAGAGGTCACCATCGGAGGAGAGGAGAGGTCACCATCGGAGGAGAGGTCACCATCGCGGGGAGAGGAGAGGTCACCATCGGAGGAGAGGAGAGGTCACCATCGGAGGAGAGGTCACCATCGCGGGGAGAGGAGAGGTCACCATCGGAGGAGAGGTCACCATTGGAGGAGAGGTCACCATCGCGGGGAGAGGTCACCATCGGAGGAGAGGTCACCATCGCGGGGAGAGGAGAGGTCACCATCGGAGGAGAGGTCACCATCGGAGGAGAGGTCACCATCGGAGGAGAGGTCACCATTGGAGGAGAGGTCACCATCGCGGGGAGAGGTCACCATCGGAGGAGAGGTCACCATCGCGGGGAGAGGAGAGGTCACCATCAGGACAGAGGAGAGGTCACCATCGGAGGAGAGGTCACCATCGAGACAGAGGAGAGGTCACCATCGGAGGAGAGGTCACCATCGGAGGAGAGGTCACCATCGAGACAGAGGAGAGGTCACCATCGGGACAGAGGAGAGGTCACCATCGGGACAGAGGAGAGGTCACCATCGGGATTCGCCAGATGCCGGCCGCCATGACGGATGAACGCCATGTCCGTCATGTCCGCCATGTACAACATGGCCGCCATGGCCGCCATGTCCAACATGGCCGCCATGTCCAACATGTCCGCCATGTCCGTCATGGCCGCCATGACCAACATGGCCGCCATCTCCAACATGTCCAACATGCCCGCCATGTCCAACATGGCCGCCATCTCCGCCATGGCCGCCATCTCCAACATGGCCGCCATCTCCGCCATGGGCAACATGGCCGCCATGGCCGCCATCTCCAACATGGCGGCCATGTCCAACATGTCCGTCATGTCCAACATGGCCGCCATGTCCGTCATGGCCGCCCTCGCGTCAGCGGTGAGTTGGTGTGGGACGTCAGGGACGAATCCGTTCTGGGTGGGTGAGTTGGGCGTGGGTGGGGTGGGTGGGTGAGCGAATGAAATTGGTGGGTGGGTGGATGGTTGGGTGGGTCAGTGGGAAGGTGAGTGGGTGGGTGGGTGAGTGAATGGGTGGATGAGTAGGTGGATGAGTAGGTGGGTGAGTAGGTGGGTGAGTGGGTGGATGAGTGGGTGGGTGAGTAGGTGGGTGAGTAGGTGGGTGAGTGGGTTAGTGAGTGAGTGGGTGAGTGAATGGGTGGATGAGTAGGTGGATGAGTAGGTGGGTGAGTGGGTGGATGAGTAGGTGGGTGAGTGGGTGGGTGAGTAGGTGGGTGAGTGGGTGGATGAGTGGGTGGGTGAGTAGGTGGGCGAGTGGGTGAGCGGGTAAGTGGGTGAGTGGGTGGGTGGATGGTTGGATGGGTAAGTGGGTGAGTGGGTGGGTGAGGAGTTTGGCGAGTGGTTGGTTGGGTGAGCGGGTGGGTGAGTGGGTGGTTGGTTGGGTGGTTTAGTGGGTGGTTTAGTGGGTGGGTGAGTGGGTGGGTGAGTGAATGGGTGGATGAGTAGGTGGGTGGGTAGGTGCGTGAGTGGGTGGGTGAGTGGGTGGGTGAGTGAATGGGTGGATGAGTAGGTGGGTGGGTAGGTGCGTGAGTGGGTGGGTGAGTGGGTGGGCGAGTGGGTGAGCGGGTAAGTGGGTGAGTGGGTGGGTGGATGGTTGGGTGGTTTAGTGGGTGGGTGAGTGAGTGAGTGGGTGGGTGAGTGAGTGAGTAAGTGAGTGGGTGAGTGAGTGGGTGAGTGGGTGGGTGAGTGAGTGAGTAAGTGAGTGGGTGAGTGAGTGGGTGAGTGGGTGAGTGAGTGGGTGAGTGAGTGGGTGGGTGAGGAGTTGGGTGAGTGGGTGAGTGGGTGGGTGAGTGGGTGGGTGAGTGGGTGGGTGAGTGGGTAGATGCGGGGTGAATGAGTGGGTGAGTTGGGTGAGTGGGTGGTTTAGTGGGTGAGTGGGTGAGTGAGTGGGTGGGTGAGTGAGGAGCTGGGCGAGTGGGTGAGTGGGTGGGTGGGTGAGTGGGTAGATGCGGGGTGAATGAGTGGGTGAGTGGGTGAGCGGGTGACCTGCAGTGTTGGTGGTGATAATGATGATGTTGATGATGATGATGATGTTAATGATGGTGATGATGTTGATAATGATGGTGGTGGTTTTGATGATGTTGATGACGATGTTGATGATGATGATGATGTTAGTGATGGTGATGATGTTGATAATGATGGTGGTGGTTTTGATGATGTTGATGACGATGTTGATGATGATGATGTTAATGATGGTGATGATGTTGATAATGATGGTGGTGGTTTTGATGATGTTGATGACGATGTTGATGATGATGATGTTAATGATGGTGATGATGTTGATAATGATGGTGGTGGTTTTGATGATGTTGATGACGATGTTGATGATGATGATGATGTTAGTGATGGTGATGATGTTGATAATGATGGTGGTGGTTTTGATGATGTTGATGACGATGTTGATGATGATGATGATGTTAGTGATGGTGATGATGTTGATAATGATGGTGGTGGTTTTGATGATGTTGATGACGATGTTGATGATGATGATGTTAATGATGGTGATGATGTTGATAATGATGGTGGTGGTTTTGATGATGACGATGTTGGTGATGATGATGTTAATGATGATGGTGGTGATGATGTTGATAATGATGGTGGTGGTTTTGATGATGTTGATGACGATGTTGATGATGATGATGTTAATGATGGTGATGATGTTGATAATGATGGTGGTGGTTTTGATGATGTTGATGACGATGTTGATGATGATGATGTTAATGATGGTGATGATGTTGATAATGATGGTGGTGGTTTTGATGATGACGATGTTGGTGATGATGATGTTAATGATGATGGTGGTGATGATGTTGATAATGATGGTGGTGGTTTTGATGATGTTGATGACGATGTTGATGATGATGATGTTAATGATGGTGATGATGTTGATAATGATGGTGGTGGTTTTGATGATGACGATGTTGGTGATGATGATGTTAATGATGATGGTGGTGATGATGTTGATAATGATGGTGGTGGTTTTGATGATGTTGATGACGATGTTGATGATGATGATGTTGATGATGGTGATGATGTTGATAATGATGGTGGTGGTTTTGATGATGACGATGTTGGTGATGATGATGTTAATGATGATGGTGGTGATGATGTTGATAATGATGGTGGTGGTTTTCATGATGATGATGTTGATGATGGTGATGATGTTGATAATGTTGGTGGTGGTTTTGATGATGATGTTGATGACGATGTTTATGATGTTTGGTTGCAGATTGGACCAGCTCCCGACGAGAATCGATGCCCAGCCCGGCCGCCTTTGTCTCCCCAAGCGCCGACGCTCTGCACACCAACCACGCCGGATGCGTCGTTTTTGTTTTGTTAAGGCCGAGTCGACCTAGAGGGGGTGTGCGCTAGTGGGGAGGGGGTGGGTGGGTGGGTGAGTGAGTGGGTGGGTGGGTGAGTGAGTGAGTGGGTGGGTGGGTGGGTGAGTGGGTGAGTGAGTGGGTGAGTGGGTGAGTGAGTGGGTGAGTGGGTGAGTGAGTGAATGAGTGGTTGAGTGGGTGAGTGGGTGAGTGAGTGGGTGAGTGGGTGAGTGAGTGGGTGAGTGGGTGAGTGGGTGGGTGAGTGAGTGGGTGAGTGGGTGGGTGAGTGAGTGGGTGAGTGGGTGGGTGAGTGAGTGGGTGGGTGGGTGGGTGAGTGAGTGGGTGAGAGGGTGAGTGAGTGGGTGAGTGAGTGGGTGGGTGAGTGAGTGGGTGAGTGGGTGGGTGAGTGAGTGGGTGAGAGGGTGAGTGAGTGAGTGAGTGGGTGGGTGGGTGAGTGAGTGGGTGAGTAGGTGAGTGAGTGAGTGGGTGGGTGAGTGGGTGAGAGGGTGAGTGAGTGGGTGAGTGAGTGGGTGGGTGAGTGAGTGGGTGAGTGGGTGGGTGAGTGAGTGGGTGAGAGGGTGAGTGAGTGAGTGAGTGGGTGGGTGGGTGAGTGAGTGGGTGAGTAGGTGAGTGAGTGAGTGGGTGAGTGGGTGGTTGAGTGGGTGAGTGAGTGGGTGGGTGAGTGAGTGGGTGAGTGGGTGGGTGAGTGGGTGGGTGAGTGAGTGAGTGAGTGGGTGGGTGAGTGAGTGGGTGAGTGAGTGAGTGGGTGGGTGGGTGAGTGAGTGAGTGGGTGGGTGAGTGAGTGGGTGGGTGGGGTGGGTGAGTGAGTGAGTGGGTGGGTGGGTGGGTGAGTGAGTGGGTGAGTGGGTGAGTGAGTGGGTGGGTGAGTGGGTGAGTGAGTGGGTGAGTGGGTGAGTGAGTGAGTGGGTGAGTGAGTGGGTGAGTGTGTGGGTGAGTGAGTGAGTAGGTGAGTGAGTGGGTGAGTGGGTGAGTGAGTGGGTGGGTGGGTGGGTGAGTGAGTGGGTGAGTGGGTGGGTGGGTGAGTGAGTGAGTGGGTGAGAGGGTGAGTGGGTGGGTGGGTAGGTGAGTGAGTGAGTGGGTGGGTGGGTGGGTGAATGGGTGGGTGGGTGAGTGGGTGGGTGGATGAGTGAGTGAGTGAGTGGGTGAGTGAGTGGGTGGGTGAGTGGGTGGGTGAGTGAGTAGGTGTGTGAGTGGGTGAATGGGTGAGTGAGAGGGTGAGTGAGTGAGTGAGTGGGTGGGTGAGTGAGTGGGTGAGTGGGTGGGTGAGTGAGTGAGTGGGTGAGTAGGTGAGTGAGTGGGTGAGTGGGTGGGTGAGTGGGTGGGTGGATGAGTGGGTGAGTGAGTGGGTAAGTGAGTGGGTGGATGAGTGGGTGAGTGAGTGGGTGGGTGAGTGGGTGAGTGGGTGGGTGAGTGGGTGAGTGAGTGGGTGAGTGAGTGGGTGAGTGGGTGAGTGGGTGGGTGTGTGAGTGGATGAGTGGGTGAGTAAGTGAGTGAGTGAGTGGGTGAGTGGGTGAGTGAGTGGGTGAGTGGGTGAGTGAGTGGGTGAGTGAGTGGGTGAGTGAGTGAGTGGGTGGGTGAGTGGATGAGTGAGTGGGTGGGTGAGTGAGTGAGTGGGTGAGTGAGTGGGTGGGTGAGTTAGCCACTAACAGCAGTTATCCCTACAGCGTACTAGAGGCTACACGGGGGATCTTTGTCTGTGTGTTGCGAGTCACCAGGTGCATCGCTAGCGGTCTGAAGACAACTATGGTGGTGGTTGTGGTGGTGGTGGTTGTGGTGGCGGTTGTGGTGGTTGTGGTGGTGGTGGTTGTGATGGTGATGGTGGTGGTGATGGCGGTGGTGGTTGTGGTGGCGGTGGTGGCGGTGGTGATGGTGGTGGTGGTGGTTGTGATGGTGGTTGTGGTGGCTGTGGTGGCGGTGGTGGCGGTGGTGGTGGTGGTGGTGATGGCGGTGGTGGTGGTGGTAGTGGTGGTGGTGATGGTGGTGGTGGCGGTGGTGGCGGTGGTGGCGGTGGTGGCGGTGGTGATGGTGGTGGTTGTGATGGTGGTTGCGGTGGCGGTGGTGGTGGTTGTGGTGGTGGTGGCGGTGGTGATGGTGGTTGTGGTTGTGGTGGTGGTGGTTGTGGTGGCGGTGGTGGCGGTTGTTGCTATCAACTTGCAGATTTCAAAGCGTTGATTTTGATTATTGTAAAGATGATATTGTAGCAAATCGTTGCGACGATCTTGACAAAGCGGTTGGTTGCTATCAACTTGCAGATTACAAAGCTGTGATTTCGATGATGATGATGTAGCAACTAGTTGCCTCCATGCAGACAAAGCAGTTGGTTGCTATCAACTTGCGGATTACAAAGTGGTTATTTTGATTATTGTAATGATGATGATGGAGCAACTAGTTGCGACTGTTGACAAAGCGGTTGGTTGCTATCAACTTTAAGATTACAAAGCGTTGATTTTAATTATTGTAATGATGATATTGTAGCAACTAGTTGCCTCCATGCAGACAAAGCGGTTGTTGCTATCAACTTGCGGATTACAAAGTCGTTATTTTGATTATTGTAATGATGATGATGATGTTGTTGTAGCAACTAGTTGTCTCCATGCAGACAAAGCGGTTGTTGCTATCAACTTGCGGATTACAAAGTCGTTATTTTGATTATTGTAATGATGATGATGGAGCAAATAGTTGCCTCCATGCAGACAAAGCGGTTGTTGCTATCAACTTGCAGATTACAAAGTGGTGATTTTAATTATTGTGATGATGATGATGTAGCAACTGGTTGCGATGATGTTGACAAAGCAGTTGTTGCTATCAACTTGCAGATTTCAAAGCGTTGATTTTAAATTATTGTAATGATGATGATGTAGCAACTAGTTGCCTCCATGCAGACAAAGCGATTGTTGCTATCAACTTGCAGATTACAAAGCGTTGATTTTAAATTATTGTAATGATGATGATGTAGCAACTAGTTGCCGCCATGCAGACAAAGCGGTTGTTGCTATCAACTTGCAGATTACAAAGTGGTTATTTAAATTATTGTAATGATGATGATGGAGCAAATAGTTGCCTCCATGCAGACAAAGCGGTTGTTGCTATCAACTTTAAGATTTCAAAGCGTTGATTTAAATTATTGTAATGATGATGATGTAGCAACTAGTTGCCTCCATGCAGACAAAGCGGTTGTTTCTATCAACTTGCAGATTTCAAAGCGTTGATTTTAATTATTGTGATGATGATATTTATGTAGCAACTAGTTGCCTCCATGCAGACAAAGCAGTTGTTGCTATCAACTTTCAGATTACAAAGTGGTTATTTAAATTCTTGTAATGATGATGTAGAAACTAGTTGCGATGATGTTGACAAAGCGGTTGTTGCTATCAACTTGCAGATTACAAAGTGGTGATTTTAAATTATTGTAATGATGATGATGGAGCAAATAGTTGCCTCCATGCAGACAAAGCGGTTGTTGCTATCAACTTGCGGATTACAAAGTGGTTATTTTAATGATTGTAATGATGATGTTGATGTAGCAACTAGTTGCCTCCATGCAGACAAAGCGGTTGTTGCTATCAACTTGCGGATTACAAAGCGTTGATTTTAATTATTGTAATGATGATCTTGTAGCAAATAGTTGCCTCCATGCAGACAAAGCGGTTGGTTGCTATCAACTTGCAGATTACAAAGCGTTGATTTTAATTATTGTAATGATGTTGTAGCAAATAGTTGCGACTGTTGACAACGCGGTTGGTTGCTATCAACTTGCAGATTACAAAGCTGTGATTTCGATGATGATGATGTAGCAACTAGTTGCCTCCATGCAGACAAAGCAGTTGGTTGCTATCAACTTGCGGATTACAAAGTGGTTATTTTAAATTATTGTAATGATGATGATGTAGCAACTAGTTGCCTCCATGCAGACAAAGCGGTTGTTGCTATCAACTTGCAGATTACAAAGCGGTGATTTTAATTATTGTAATGATGTTGATGATGATGTTGATGTAGCAACTAGTTGCCTCCATGCAGACAAAGCGGTTGTTGCTATCAACTTTAAGATTACAAAGTGGTTATTTAAATTATTGTAATGATGATGATGTAGCAACTAGTTGCGACGATGTTGTCAAAGCGGTTGTTGCTATCAACTTGCAGATTACAAAGCGTTGATTTTAATTATTGTAATGATGTTGATGATGATGTTGATGTAGCAACTAGTTGCCTCCATGCAGACAAAGCAGTTGTTGCTATCAACTTGCAGATTACAAAGCTGTGATTTCGATGATGATGATGATGTAGCATCTAGTTGCCTCCATGCAGACAAAGCTGTTGTTGCTATCAACTTGCAGATTTACAAAGCGGTGATTTTAAATTATAGTAATGATGAGGATGTAGCAACTAGTTGCGACTATGTTGACAAAGCGGTTGGTTGCTATCAACTTGCAGATTACAAAGCGTTGATTTTAATTCTTGTAATGATGATGTTGATGTAGCAACTAGTTGCGACTATGTTGACAAAGCAGTTGTTGCTATCAACTTGCAGATTACAAAGCGGTGATTTTAATAATTGTAATGATGATGTTGATGTAGCAACTAGTTGCGACTATGTTGACGAAGCGATTTGTTGCTATCAACTTGCGGATTACAGTGATTGCGATGATGGTAACCATGACAACGACGGCGGCAGTGACCATGACAACGGCGGCGGCGGTGACCATGACAACGACGGTGGCGGCAACCATGACAACGGCGGCGGTGGTTACCATGACAACGGTGGCGGCGGTGACCATGACAACGACGGTGGCGGCGACCATGACAACAACGGCGGCGGTGACCGTGACAACGACGGTGGTTACCATGACGACGACGGCGGTGGTTACCATGACGACGACGGCGGTGGTGACCATGACAACGACGGCGGTGGTTACCATGACGACGGTGGCCGTGACCACCACCACCACCATCATCACCTCTACCGCGGTATTATCGGTTAAATTATTGATGTTGTACCTTGCTAATGTATTCGTGTTGTGAAGCACTGTGGTACAATGAACAACAATATTTATTGAAGACAAAGGCGGCCATGTCGTGTGTCGTGTCTGTCGACCAAATCGCTCGCTCACTCACTCACCAACTCACTCACTCAACCACTCACCAACTCACTCACTCGCTCACCCGCTCACTCACTCACTCACCCACTCACTCACCAACTCACTCACTCACCAACTCACTCACTCACCCATTCACTCACCAAATCACTCACTCACTCACCCACTCACTCACTCACACACTCACTCGCTCACCCACTCACCAACTAACTCACTCACCCACTCACCCACTCACTCACTCACTCACCCACTCACTCACCCACTCACTCACTCACTCACCCACTCAATCTACCACCCACTCACCCACTCACTCACTCACCAACTCACCCACTCACTCACCCACTCACCAACTCACCCACACAATCTATCACCCACTCACTCACCCACTCACCCACTCACCCACTCACTCACTCACCCACTCACTCAACCACTCACTCACTCACCCACTCACTCACCCACCCACTCACCCACTCACTCACTCACCCACTCACCCAACTACTCACTCACCCACCAACTCACTCACCCACCAACTCACCCACCAACTCACTCACTCACCCACTCACTCACCCACTCACCAACTCACTAACTCACTCAACCACTCACCCACTAACTCACCAACTCACTCACCCTCTCACCCACTCACTCACCCACTCACTCACCAACTCACCAACTCACTCACCCACTCACCCACTCACTCACTCACCCACTCACCCACTCACCAACTCACTCACCAACTCACTCACCAACTCACCCACTCACTCACTCTCTCACTCACTCACTCATCCACTCACTCACTCACTCACCCACTAACTCACTCACTCATTCACCAACTCACTCACTTACTCTACCACTCACTCACTCTGTCACTCACTCACTCACCCACTCACTCACTCTAACACCCACTCACTCACTCATCCACTCACTCACTCTACCACCCACTCACTCACTCACCCACTCACTCACTCTACCACCCACCCACTCACTCACCCACCCACTCATCCACTCACCCAACCACTCACTCACCGACTCACTCACCCACCCACTCACACACCCACCCACCCACACACTCACTCTCTCACTCACCAACTCACTCACTCACCCACTCACTCACCCACCCACCCACTCACTCACCCACTCCCTCACCAGCTCACCCACCCACTCACTCACCCATCAACTCACCCACCAACTCACCCACCAACTCACTCACCTACTCACTCACCCACTCACTCACTCACACACTCACTCACCCACCCACTCACTCACTCACCCACTCACTCACCCACCAACTCACTCACCCACTCACTCACTCACTCAACCACTCACTCAGTCACTCACTCACTCAACCACTCACTCAACCACTCACCCACTCACTCACTCACCCACCAACTCACTCACTCACCAACTCACTCACTCACTCACCCACTTACCCACTCGCCCACTCACTCACTCACCCACTCACTCACCAACTCACTCACCCACTCACTCACCCACTCACCCACTCACTTACCCACTCGCCCACTCACTCACTCACCCACTCACTCACTCACTCACC